AGAATCCCTGTATTTATTAATCAATTATTGGTTTTGTGATTATAAACGATAATTCTGCACAATTCAAAGTAATTAATATAGAGCTTTATAGGTAAATCACCCTACGCCTATAAGAATTGCGATGTTGTAGCTAAGAACCAAGTTTCCATCTACTTCTATAGGGGAATTCATTATAATCGATTTAGCTATTAGGGCACAGAAACGCAACAAACAAACTCACTTTCGCATCTATAATATTATATTATACTTACTAGTGATCCACCCCGGCATTGTACGGGCGAAATTTATTTTATCGGGATAAAATATAGCATATGTCACTCGGAAAAAATGTATTTAAATAAAGAAAAATGTAATAATAAATAATGTAATGTAGTAAATAAATAATCTTATGATGAATTAATAATTAAAACCGGTTCAGTGGTTTGACATATTATTTGTTACGAACATACAAATCTTGCCTCTTTATAATATTAGTATAGATAGTTAGGATAATAGTATTTAATCGATGAAAAAGATTTAAAAATAAAGTAAGTAATAGGTTTATTTGATTATATTTGTAAAAGTTACTTAGCATTTGCGCTTAACAGTGATACGTTATTCGCTATTTTTTTTATACAAAATACATATTTGGAAAATAATTGCCATGATTGAACTACTATTTGTAATACCTGCTAGGCTGGTAGCCTAGCAGCACGCTTGGCAGGTGGAAGTACTCTTCATTCGAGCTTTACACTACCAATAAAATAGGGTCGATCACAAAGTCTTTGACATGTTATTGGTGAACGCTTTAAAACAAAACTACAGAGAGAACTATAAATTGGTAATAAATGATATTGCTATGGTGCTCTACCTACCGTATGGAAAAAAATATTATGCACCTTTAGTTTAATCAAATATTATAAACTTTGATTTGGTGATTGCATAATTATTTAATTTAGCGATCTAAGACAGTTGCCACCATTGTCCAAAACAACAGACGGGAATTACTGCTTTCTTCAACCTGCGACATAAACGTTAGGTATTGATTAGTATTATATATAGGGTGATTAACAACATTTGAAGTTAACGTCTGGCATCTACATATTGGGATTCTGTGAATTATGTAGGTATATCAAATTATGAGTCTAGGATATGACACTGCATTTGTGTATAGCACAATCTTAGAGCCAGACGTTGACATGACAATAATAATAATAATTTATTGCATAAAAATATGGTATAAAAGGTGTTTGATCATTTTCATGTCTCAAATATTTTACTGTTAAACAGCATGCAACAGTTTTTAAATCAACTTAAAATTAAAGTGTAATGCTTGTCAGCTTATCAATATCATGCCAAGATCATTTTATACTCAATATTATACAATGTCAATAAATATAAAATTATCCATTAAAATTGTAAAAAATAAATGTCCAATGTTAAAAATTTGTTTTCTCACAATGTTCCAATAATCAATAATAATCATACAATGGTGTCGATTCATAATAAAATAATAATCAAAAAGTAAAATAGTAAATGCACCAATATTTGCTTTTAGGATCCTCCAGTAATCAGTATCGTACAATGTCAAACAAATTAAATAAATCATCAAAATATATAATACATGTCCAAAATCAAAATTTCATATATTGAAGTCCATTCAGCCTACTTATCCTCAAAATACTCTGCAAGTGAATAATAGCATTTTTCTATTAATAATTTACATAGACGACGTCTGAATAAGGACATAGGTAATGACTTTAATGGCTCAGGCAAATTATTATATATTTTCACGGACATTGTAAAGCTATTTCTACTACAAATTTCAGTTCTAGAGTCTGATAAACACATATTTTTTGGATACCTAGTGTTAAAAGTACAGCAGTCTTTTTTAGTTTTATAAAGGTCAGGGTGCATTTTGACAAAGATACATATTTCAAAAATATAAATACACGGAACTGTCAACAACAAAAATATAAATACACGGAACAAAGGCCTGCAAGAAACCCAAGAATCAACATTAGCAATAGATCTAATGCATTGTTTTTGTGCAATAAACAGTCTTTTATTTTTTACAGAATTACCCCATACTATTATGCCATACCTTATGATCGAGGCTACATATCCGTGATATGCTTTCAGTGCGGTTTGAGTATTGCTTATTCTAGGCAATGCAGCCACTGCCAATTTTTAATAGTCAACGAATAAAAGTAAATGAATTTCATATTTACTGCTAAACTACTAAAAAGAACATAAACAAAAGATGACTTTTTGAATAAGTGCTTGTTTACTATAAAATTTACATACATTTGTTAAATAGGTAACGACTTGATTTAACTTCACACATTTTGCGAAAATGAGGGCCATTTGTAGCCTCTATAATAAGTCAATCGCTTAGACCATCGCAAGGTACTTAATAATTCCCGCGATATTTATTCCCTTACTGAAGTAACAAGACTACGGTATATACCGTCTTATAATACTAACTAACTAAAAAGTGTGAAATAAAAAAGGTAAATTTAAAAAATCAGAAAACCCGACTGCTTAATTATACTTCAAGTAAAAACTGAAAAGAAAAAAACAAGTCCAGTAGTCTATAATTCTGTTAATAAGGAAAAAAGCTACTTGAACAGTCGGGACCCATTATTGAAAAATATTATGTATTCTTGAATATCTAATGGGTCCCGACTGTTAAAGTAGCTTTGTTCCTTTGGACTTGTTTTTTTCTTTTCAGTTTTTACTTGAAGTATAATTAAGCAGTCGGGTTTTTTGATTTTTTAAATTTACCTTTTATTGTATTTTTAAAGTGAAGTTGAATGTTTCAGTAAATCGTACTAAAAACTAAAGTTCCAACTTTCAAGCCTTTTTTGAGTAACTTTAAGTAATTTCAGAACGCTGAGTTATTTTTTTTATTAAAACAACATTCAAGACAATTATGTCACAAAAAAAGACTGCAAAATACCTACTACGAAAAAAGATATGAATTTTTGAAACCTCACTGGCAGAAATCATGGGGTATTTTCGAATTAAAAGGTGCGAGGAATCTAAAAAAAATTGTTGAAGCCACTAGTTGGACCACCTGTATAATGGTGTCGAATCTGGTGTAATTCTCTAAACTTAAAACTAAATTTAACATCAATCTCTCCTTTTCATTCCGTATAGAGAATGACAAGGATACACTGTTTTCAAAATTAAGTTTCGGTTTAGAGAATCGTGTCAGAATTTTGACACCATTATAGTTTTCCGCCCTTTTGATAAAGACAGTACCTACTGCAGATATGCGATATTGCAATTCACATAAAATGCCAAACGGATCTATAGACTCCTTTTTCAAGTTGGTTACTTAGATTAAAATGTAATAATAATAGTAATATATGTATATGTAAGTTAAGCAAGTTTCGCAGTGGTCGGTCATTAGATGGGTGACCAAAAATCTTCTCTCGAGTTCCTCCGTGCTTCGGAAGGCACGTTTAGCCGTTGGTCCCGGCTGCATCTGCAGTCATTAGCACCTGCCAATCTGCACTGGACCCGCGTGGTGCATGGGCCATGGCCCATTCCATGGGGAAGGCCTGTGCCCCAGCAGTGGGAATATTAATAGGCCGATCATGATGGTGATGACGTCTGGAATGAAACGGTCATGCCAATCGTCTTTCTGTGGCAAACAAAATCTTCTGTTTGAACAAACACACACTACGGCCTATATATATACCCACTACGACCGAAGATGAGATTACCAGACTACTCATGGCCTCCGATCCGAGGAAATTGCCGAATTTTTCATGATGAAGAAAATTTTCTTTTGAGGAAGAAAGCGAAGACGGTAATTAAAATGTCGCGGTAGAAGAATCTTCCGTAGCGTAAAGAACCGGTTTGTATACAATGTTCAAAGTCACTGTGTAATGATTGCCTAATGGTAGCCATACACACTACGAGAAATCGTTACGATTAGACTATACCGTCCGAACGGTACCGATAAATCGTAGCGTGTATGTTATAAAACTGCACAGTTTCTTATACGTACGCCACGTACGATAAACTGTTCCGTTCGAACTGTAGAGTCTGATCGTAACGATTTCTCGTAGTGTGTATGGCTACCATAAGATTTAACCGCTGTCAAAAATTTTGTATTTAAATTTTCATATTTGTTTACTTTTCATAGTTTATATTTTTGAGAAAAAGAAAGACTTGGTTTTGTAAGCTTTATTTAAAAAACTATATCCCTAAAAGTGATGTCATGTCATTACAATTGAAAAATGTACCATAAAGACTGTTAATTGGTGTTACTAAGTATAATTTAGTAAAGAATAAAGTTGATTTAGGTACTTATATATTTTTCGTTTCATTTCAACCCAATTAATAAATTCATAACATAGTTTTACCCCTCGCTCCGAAATATCATTTAATTTTCACCCTTGAAGTTTGTGGGCCTCAGAGACCGCTTGTCCATAGAAGTGTAATGAAAATTAGATGCCCATAGTTAAAGGTTAAAATAAAATAAGCTCATTATTAGAATTTATGCAAATTATTGTATATTATTTAAGTACCTACTCCATAAGCTACTTCATTTTACATTAAAAATTTAGGTATTTAGTTGTTTTTTGAATTTAAAAATAAATTAACTAGTGTATTTTTTCATTTGTGTGAATGGTGATAGTCATTTATTAGTCCACTACCATTATGGAGGAAAATTTAAATTTAGCGCTTTTTTTTATTCCAATCTTTCCAATATGGAATACCGCGTCCTTCCCCCTCCGTGTTCCCTCCCATTCCTACCATTTTTAAGTAAGAGTTTTTCAATATGTCAATTTTTATAAGACTAGAACAACATGTATTTTTTTCAATATTTGTTATAACAATAATTATATTTTAATCATTATAAAAACATGAAATTTTATGAATTCAAACTTTCTTGCAATCTTACATAATTTAAAATGTGTTTATAAGAAAAAATTAAAAAATAGTAACGGTAACCATTGCCTTTTCGGAACGTGACACGCTAAGAACCTTTTAAATGACAGCTTGATTTGGTTTGGTTTCCGCTACTGTGCTATTGTGCTATTTTTTGGTTTTAGGCTACGAAAACGCAAGATAATGTCGATATCTACTGCTACAGGTACTTCTTTACATTCATTACATGTGTTTTTAAATAGTCTACTCTACAAAAATATATGTTTACTATCGAACCTAGTCGAGTAGGGTTTTCGGAGAAATGCTATGGAATCCCATATGGCGGTCCACACACCACATGATATAATGACGCTTTATGACAAATTCATTTATTTTCCTAATACAATCAATTCATAAACTTAACATTTATTGCTTTAAGTGCACAGTTTAACGAGATGTTACGCCGCATTTAGGTTACTTCATTTGCTTATTTTTTTCTGGAGTCTTTAGCGTCCTCGTTAATGTAGAATGGAGCTTACGATCAATCTGATTGCGGTATACTTGAACTGTTTAACATGATCGTTATCCAATACTTATCTCAATGGAAATTAACAATTTCTCTGCTGTTTAGTTACACATTAACCAAATTTTCTAAGTTTTTTTTGTAAGACATTATCATTAGTTTTTATTTGGCTTCACAGATGAACGCACTGAAGGTGATGATGACACATCACAAGGAAGCCAGCCAAAAGATGACAGTAGCGAATCTGAGAATGAGAATGAGAATGAAAATGAACCACAGAATCAAAATGGAGGTTCACCTAGCCCAGAAGTTCATGAAATCACAAGTGATGATGATGATGATGGAGGGGATTCTAACGATGATGAATCTTCTAATTCTAGTTCAGACAGCAATGATAGTTCTGATGGATCTCAACAAAGTCACAAGGCAATTGAAGAGAAGAAAATGGAAGAGCAACTAGAAAATGGTGATGATGAATCAGATGTGGAAGAAGTCTCTATGGAAGATCCATTGAACCAGGGTCAGGGTAAGAGTAAGCCCATAGTGGTAAGTGATACAAAAAGCTTGGCTGACTTGGCATCAAAACAAGCTAAATCCAATGGTGATCAAAATAAAGAGCCAACTGTTGTCATTATAGATACAAATTCCATACTATCTGGTAAAGGCCCAACACCAGTTCAAAGTAAGGTAAATACACCAACAAGTGCTTTGGAAGCTCAAAATTTATGTCAAAGTATTGCCGCCCGGGGTACAACTATCACTCCAGTCAGTAGTAAAAGTACCCAAAATGTCTCATCTCAAAACAATACTCCAACTGCTCAACCTCAACCTAACATCTTGCCATCTCTAACAGATGATATGTTTGTTGTTGAAGCACCCTCTTTTATAGTTCCTTATGTGTATGAAAAGCCATCTATAAAACCATTCAGAGAGTTTGTTGATAAGTTAGGGAAGGGACTGGAAGAACTAAAAATAAAAGAAGAGCAAGAAAAATCAGAAAAAGAGAAATTAGAAAAAGAGAGAAAAGAGAAAGAAAGGAGAGAGAGGATTGAAAGGGGTGAAGAGGTGCCTGATGGAGAAGAAAGTGATAAAGAACAGAAAAATGTTGAGGAAGAAGTACCCAAGGAGAAAAAGTCTGAAAAAAGAAAACGTAAACGCGGTAGAGAAGAAGACGACGATTCCTGGGATGGGGAGTCATCAACAGAATCAGACGAAGATGCTATCAGTGATGAAGAAGGTGTTCAAATTATCAAAGACAAAGATGACACTATTGAAGAAATCAAAGATCCTATAAGTTTGATTGCTAAAGGCTTGTCATCGGGTAAATCTGATAGTTACTTCGATTGTTCCTTAGGACAATTTTTTATAAATATAGGCATTAATTTAGTACAGGAATTTGTGCAGAGTGACCTTCTTAAGCAACAAAATCGTAAATTATACAAAGAAAAGAAATCTGGTCGCAGTACTCGAGCCACAGAGGCAGCTATAGCCTCACTGACACAAAATTTAGATTTCAGCAAAAGGACTAATGCTCCTTATGCTCTTCAACAAAAAAGATGTGAGTTTTGTAGTTTCAAGACTGAGTCCATGTTGGTTATGGCACATCATCTGGAAGCACCTCATATGCGTAATAATATTTATAAATGTAACACATGTTCATTTGAAATTCGCAGCCCCCATGATATCTTGTTTCACATGGAGGCTGAACATAATATTCGTGGACGTCTGGAAAGAGCTCCAGCTTATCAACAGTGTGCTAATTGTCATTTTGAGGATAACAGTAAAACTAAATTGGCAAGGCATCTTATAGCTTGCGCTAAAAAGTTCAAGCCTGAGTTTAATCTTGCCCCCCCTCTAGAATGGGAACCTCCAGCAAAGATACCAAAGTTAACAAGAGCCAGGAATAATATGGTAAGTCCCTATCAGACTGCTTTTAATCGTGCTCAAATGGGTATGAATAATTTGGGTCGACCACCTCTAAATGTATCAAATGTTATCTCAGGCATGCCTATGATGGGAAGGCCTCGTGGCCGTCCACCATTAGCTCCCCCTCGTCCTAACACCGTTTCTGGTGTACCAATCATGCGCGGTGGTCTTATGATAATGCACAATAATCCCCCAAGTGGAACTACCATTTCGAATTACCCTATGATTCAAAACAACCAAGGACCTAATAATGCCACTCCTAAGATTTCAATCACACCCTTACCTCGTGCCCCACAGCCTTCATCCTCACAATCTTCTCAAAATAACAAAGCTACTTTTGTGATCTGTGAAATTTGTGATGGTTACATTAAAGATTTGGAACAATTGAGAAACCATATGCAATGGATTCACAAAGTGAAAATTCATCCCAAGATGATCTATAATAGACCTCCCCTCAACTGTCAGAAGTGCCAGTTTAGGTTCTTTACTGATCAAGGGCTGGAGAGACATCTGCTGGGCTCACATGGTTTGGTAACCAGCTCCATGCAGGAAGCAGCAAACAAAGGTAAAGATGCTGGAAGGTGCCCTGTTTGTGGCAGAGTTTACCAATGGAAGCTACTAAATCATGTATCAAGAGACCATAACATGACTCTCAAACCAGCCCATCTATCATACAAGTGTACTGTGTGTACTGCGACTTTCGGTATGTATAAGCAATTTGAGAATCATGTATATTCTGCTCATAGTGTGGTAGCAAAACGCGTGATGGATAAAAGCAAGCCCAGTGCTCCAACCAAACCAATGGATTCTGATTCCCTTTTAAAGCCCTTAAAGATAAGTGATGAGATAACTATAATTCCTCAACCAGCAAAATCCTCCCTTACTATCACAGCTAAAGGCAAATAACGCTAACGTTGAGGGAGTGTGCCGCGAGCGTGGACATCAAGACTGCTTTACCAGTACCGCACTTCCGCGACATGAGCAGTATTGTGTAAATATTTCTAAGCTATTAATTAACATTCATATTTAAAACTATTGATGTTGGAATACTGAGAAATAGTGACAATTTAGTTAATGAAGTAAGTGTGAATGTTATTTTTAATAAATGAAAACAAAATACAGTATAAATTAAGATGTAAATTCAGTGTATAAAATGATAACAATATAGATATCCAACAAATTGTGTATTTTGTGAGTTTACTGAGTAGGATTCTCCTTACCACTTCATGTATTTGTGACTTCTGCCGGTGTTGCCTAATTGTCACAAATATAAATTATTCTTATCTAATAAAGATCTGTATTCGAACTGTGTTTAAGTAGAATGACAGGAGATTGTGAATGTGCAAGTTATACAGGTTTCCTTGTACACTAAAAGGGATGCTACTTCTTTATGAAACTGCTAAACGTGTTTGTAATTTGAAAGTCGGTAATCATTACATATTGTCTGCCTATTTTAATTTAAATATAGTTGGTCTGTTTCAGAATTATTGTAAAAATATAATTTACTTAGAGACTTTCCATTATGAATGTATAATAAATAAATCATGATTATGATAGATTACTTAAGGGATTAAGTTAAATCGTAGATTTTAATATAATTTTAAGTATATTATTTTAAGTAAATTACCATTTTCAAACACCTCCCCCCATACTCGCAGTTACTTGGAAAAGTTAAACAATATCACATCAATCTTATTTATTTCTGATCTCAGGTCAACAGAATATCATGTTGATTTGGTAAAAGTTTACTAAAATTGTTGAATGTACTTATAGAACTGAAAATAATGTATTTTTTTTATTTAATAAAAAAGACCACTGTAACTAAACATGGAATTTTTATTTATAGAAAATATTAAAATATATATAACAACCAATACACGTTTGGACCACATTCAGAATTTAAAAAAATCCACAGGGCCTGTCAAGTATTTTCTTTGGGAGAAGAAAAAGCATTTAATTATAAAAAAAAGCTAGCTTCCGCCCGTGACTTGAGAATCCCACAGGAACTTAACATTGTTAGAAATAAAAATATGATTAGTGTTTACATAAGTATCCTATCTCTAAATTCAGATAATCAACTTTATAATGTGTGCCAGATTTCATATAAATCGGTTCAGCCTTTTTGCGTTAACACATTTAATGCTATACTTATTGCTGCGGAGTGCGGACCCTTGTTATTAAAAGATGTATAAATCATATAAAAAAACCGGCCAAGAGCGTGTCATGCCACGCGCAGTGTAGGGTTCCGTAGTTGCTCGTCGGCACCACAATTTGAATTAGGTAGGATATTTTGTAATACCTAAGTTGAACGACTATTACTCTTAAACTAACATATCTATTATACCCGTTATAATTTTCCATAAAAGTTCATAAAAAGGACTACTATCATGAATTGTTCCAGGGTTTTCAAGGCAAAAGTTTAGCTTTTAGAGGGTGGGGGGGAACCCTTACACTTACAAAAATTAGCTCAATATTTCGCTTATGGATCCCTAAAACGAAAAATAGACGTAGGAACACGTAAGTAATTTTAAAGGACCTATTCAACGATATCCCACACGATGGGGTGGACGTTGAAAAAATAAATGCATCTCCAGGTTACATGTAGGGGAGCTACTCTAAAAATATTTTTCAAAATTTTATTCTGCCATTTTGTCGGCATGAATGATTTACCTATATACGAGTATATCCTCACAAAATTAGAGATCTCTAGTGCTAACAGTCTCCAAGCAAAACCGGGGACGGACAGACAGAGGGACATGACGAAACTATAAAGGTTCCTTGTGCGGACTACGGAACCCTAAAAACGGTAACGATGCAGCTGATACACTCGCAAGAAGAGGTTCTAACACAAAGGCCATGGGATTAGAACCCATTGTACCCATACCCTTTAGCCAGCTAAGAAGTTGGTTACTTGCCTTTTACAAAATTGCGCCGCGCTGCCCGTACTGATCGACGCGTAGATAGGTAGATTTGCACTAGTATATATTGCTTTTTACGGGTGACGTTTCGAGTCTTATAAAATAATTATTAATGAACTAATTATAAAAATATATACATATTTCAGTAGTTCAATTATGGTAGATATAGATTGATAGTAATTCTATTTAATTCTATATCGAGGTTATATGTTTTTTTTTCATAATTAATGAGAAGGAAAATCAAAATTATAATACATTATGTTACAATAAAAACATATTTCTGATGTCGTAGTAATTAATTTGATCTAATGTATTGAACATTATAGAGAGATTGAGGCGTTTGAAGTTGTGCATATTATCGTTTTTTCCGTAAACGATCAGTCCAAAAAAAGGGAAAATAGTATTTGCATATATTCTACATTAACTTACAATAGGAAGAATAAATCTACTGTTAATTTCTATTGGAAATAGTCAAAATCTTTTGTAAGGGGGTAAACGAGGCGCTCAAAAATTTCAATTTTTGCAAAAAATGTGAAAGAGCTCTTAAAAGCCCACACACAAGCAAAGCAGTGTTGGACATCGACACCAGGGTGTAGGCAATCTAAGGATGCTATGGCATCCCCAGATGTAAAGCTGACCAGGCGCCTTCTGTGCCTGGACAGGAACAGCCTGAGACTGGTGGCGGGGATCATCACTGGGCACTGCCCATTGAATAAACACTTTCACACCCTAGGGATCACTGACAGTCCCCTGTGCAGAGCGTTTATTCCTGTTATTTATGTTACTGTTGTGCAATAAAGTATTATGTATTATCTTATATTATCTTAAGAAAGGATTTTTCAAATATCACTCAAGGGTATAAAATAGGGGATGAAAGTTTGAGAACTTTGAGTCATCAAAGAATAAGATTTTTCATACACTTGAAATTTGGGACGAATACATATTTAGTTTGTCATTTTTAGTTTTTCTAAGCTGCTCCTTAAAAGGGGAGTGGGAGGATGTCGAAGTTTTTATATGCATAATTTTTACACGCATTTCGATTAACTCGAAACTTTGTATTTTTACTACACCAGAAATAAAGAATAACGTGTATTAGGATTTTACTAAAATCTACCCTTAAGAGGTTTAATAAGGAAATGACAGTTTGTATGAAAAGTTTTATACTTTAAGTTACTTTAAACTTGGTTCGAATACTTATCTAAATTAATTATTAAATTTGCCATTTTTGGTTTGCCTAAACCACCCCCTAAATGGGGATTGAAGTGTTGACATAGACGTAATACTTTCACAGTGCGCCGCGATTTAAAAGAAAATGGTTCTATCCCCTTTGGTACGTAAAGAGTTTATGATCTGGATTGGGACATGGAATACTTTTTATCCCAGAAAAAATATTAGGTTCCTGTGGGATTCTCAAAAACCTAAAGTTTACGTGGACGAAGTCGCGGGCGGGCTATTACCTGAATAATTGCAATACCAGCTCACGTGGATTGACTTATCCATTGTAATTAGTTATTTGATGGGTATTAGTCAGTATTTGTAACAGTAATATGGTACCTATCTAATGCCGCTTCCTATATACTAAATATCAAATTTATTGTAACTATATATATCTATATCCAAAATGATGTAATGGAAGGTGACTTCAGAAGTATCTCTGAAATCATTTTTCAATTTGACGACTCTGTATACAGGGTGTTTGGAAGATGAGTGCAAAGCTTTAAAAGAAAGCTAACAGAGACCATTTAGAAACATTTAAGCCATACTTGTCACAGACGAAGTCTGACTATTTTAGTTTTAATATTTTTTAACGATTTTAAAGAAAAAACCCTAAAAGTACACAGTTAGTTCCAAATAATGGCTAACTGACATAATAAATGAATTCTTTTTGAATTTATTTCATAAAACAAATGTGAAAGCAAACTAAGAAAAAAAGTTTAAAATATCTGTATCAGCAAACAAATTTTTAACAGATATTTAAAATTATCGTAAATTTTTAAAATGGTAAAAAGCTGTTTATCTTAGGCTTACAAAAAAAAACACGGAGGGTGTTTTGATTGTTCAAAGCTTTTTAAAAACATGTTCAGTTATTGTACTTTCTTTTGAGGTATCGTTTATGCAAATTGCTTAGAAATTGTTGAAACTAAGACCAGAAATTCTAATTGAGGAAGATTTTTTTTATGTTTTAGATGAATAAATTAAAACAAAATTTAAACTGAAATCACTTATTCTTTTTCGTGTTCAAAATGTTCGCCGCGATTTGTAACACATGCAAGGGCCCGTGTTCTTACTTCCGTTGTCGTTATTTTCAACATCATCTCCTGTTTCATCGTTTGAAATGCTGCATTTATTCTTTCTATTAATTGTTCTATTCTATTTCTATTGGTGTAAACTAGTTCTTTGGCCTGACTGCTGGTGTGATTGGCAGAACGTTGATTGGGCCCCACTTCCTGCCAGACATTTTGAACGGCGACAATTACTTAGAATTTCTCCAAAACCACTTGCCAGTTCTTGTTGAAGATTCCGGTGCTCCAATATTCGAAAGTGATCGAGAGATCATCTTTCAGCAGGACGGGTGTCCAGCCCATTGGACTTTAAACATAAGAGAACATTTAAATAATTGCTTCCCTGATAGCTGGATCGGCAGAGATGGCCCAATCTCTTGGCTTGCTCGGTCATCCGACCTTACACCAATGGATTTTTTCGTGTGGGGTCGGGCCAAGGAACTAGTTTAAACTCATGTGGAAATAAACACAAAAGAACAATTAATAGAAAGAATAAATGCAGCATTTCAAACGATGAAACAGGAGATGATGTTGAAAATAACGACAACGGAAGTAAGAACACGGGCCCGTGCGATTGTTACATATCGCGGCGAACATTGTGAACACGAAAAATAAGTGATTTCAGTTTAAATTTTGTTTTAATTTATTCATCTAAAACATAAAAAAATTTTCCTCAATTAGGATTTCTGGTTTTAGTTTCAACAATTTCTAAGCAATTTGCATAAACGATACCTCAAAAGAAAGTACAATAACTGAACATGTTTTTAAAAAGCTTTGAACAATCAAACACACTCCGTGTTTTTTTTGTAAGCCTAAGATAAACAGCTTTTTACCATTTTAAAAATTTACGATAATTTTAAATATGTGTAAAAAAATTGTTTGCTGATACAGAT